AAACACCTTGCCTTGAAAACTGCAAGGACTCGTCCAAGCAGTCACTGCAGAGTCGGTAACGACTGCGGGCCGATAAAAAAACAAAAAAAAAAAGAGCCTCATGAGACTTTTCCAAACTATGATTTATGTCTCCATTAACTTGAGAGTGAAAGCTGCCAAGAAGAGGACAGGTTTCTGCCAGGTAGTCAGTATATGTCTCTGATTGTTCCATCTCCCTTTCAGGAAATGGCAGACAACCAAATTGACTCAGGAGACCTCATGGATTGTCTCATTCAGAATAAGCATCAGAAGGAGATGAATGAAAAGTGTGCAATCGGAGTTACACACTTCCAGCTAGTGAGTATAGCCGTTTTAATTCATTTATTCCCATCCATCTGCATGCTGCCTATTATATCAGCTCTAGGTGTCTGATGATATATAAATCTAAAATCATCCGTAGAATACTAATAAAAACAATGCACAATTAAAAATATTAAATACTGTTAATAAAAACTGCTGTCATCACCTGAAAGACCTTCCTGCCCAAATGTTCTCCTAAAAGAGGTCAGTCTTCTCCATTTTTATAGAAGGTTAGGAGTATGGTGGACCAGAGAGAGGGAGTTGCCACTGTGAAGGTCATCCCTAGGTCCCAGATCCCCAGTCTCTTTCAGGGTAGGCACGTGGAGCATCCTGTCCCTGCTAGACTGTGTAGAACAGGCAGATGTTCCCTGAAGAAGATAGTCTAACAAGGTCTAAGCCAGAAACATTTAGAGCTTTGCCAGGGCTAGGAACCAGATAGCCCCGTTCTCCCCAATGGATAGGATCTCCCCAATTAATAGAACTTAGATTCTTTGTGGTCCCTTTCTTCAAGGCTTCTTGATTCCCTTGCTGCAAAAAGAGTTTCCTAACTCTGACTACTCTCTGTGTTCATACCGCTTTCCGCACCTCCTTCCATATTTCATACCATATTTCCATGGTTGTTAACTGGAGGTTGGCCAACTACATCACTTCTTATGGTCTGCATAGGAGCTGCAGTCCTACTTAGCTCCACCAGAACTTTGCTAGTCTGGAGTGATCAATCAATCAATCAACTTTATTGATTTCGTCTATTGACCATATCAAGTATAAAAGAAATAAAATAAAAAGCCATTGTAAACATACAGATAAGAATGAGTAAATATAAGTAAAATTATGATACAAGTTCATATCAAACCATCACCCCTACAGTCAACACCAATCTGGTCTAAATAATCTGTCCTCTTTGTAATTGCCTTTGATATGAAGAATGCAGTTTTACTAGTAATAAGCAGGTTCTTACCCTGTAAAAAAAGTAGAAACGTTTCTGCTGACTGCTCCAGTTTTTTTTATTTTTTAAATATAAATGGAAGTGGTCAGTCCTTTTTACTGAGTATAATTTACAATCAAGTAAGATGTGTGTGGTATCTTCAATAGCTGAGGTGCCACAAATACATAGCCTTTCTTCATATTGAACTCCTTGAAATCTCCCATAGCTTGCCATAGGGTCTAACTGATCGAAACAAGCTCTAGTAAAAGCTCTTCTAAGATCTTGGGGTAAGGGAGTTGTTAAGTACTTTTCTACTTGAAAGACTGATTTGTGTTGGGCCAGCCACTTCAAGGACTTGAGATGTTTAAGAAATGCTATATCCTCTTGGGCAGCCATGTCCAAAACCC